CGGCTGTGCTTTCTTAGCTTAACTCATGACTTAGATGCCTAGGAATTAATAAAAATACCACAAGCTTCAGAGCAGGACAGGAGAAGATTCTGGTCAGTAGGTGCCACTGCCTCACCTCTGCAGTTTGAAGATGTGTTTGGACCCAAATCTCTCTAGTTTTCTAGTTTGAGGCAAAAACCAGGAATGATTTTTATCAGCTTATTTGATATACTGTACTAAAAGAATCCTGTTCTGGAAGAAAGTGTCTTTAAAACCATGGTGCAAACACCACTAATCATTAGGCTTGATTATAGTAATGTGACTGATATGCAGTTGCCTGTACATTTGGCCCAGAAATTTCACTTGGTACAAAACCCAGCAGCCAGGCTGGACTTGGGAAGAATGCAAAGAGGCCAGCTGGCACCCATGCCTAAAGTACTCCACTCGCAAACTACAAAGTGCCAGCTATTACTTTTAAAGCTAGCTCCAGGCTATTTAAGAGGATGTCTCTTTCTCTTTAAAACTGTTTTTATACCAAACCACCTTTATAATTGGCAGTGTAATAGCTAAAACAACACAAAATAAAAGAGCTCTAGGACCAGCCAGCACTATTCATATTCTAGCTCTGGTGCTTCAACGTGTACCTGCTCAGGGCAGTGAACTTTAGGAAAGAAGAATCTCACTCATTAATCCATGAATTCCTGAACAGAGACCATTCCTGGAGGTACAGCCAACTGTACTGCAGAAAGAAGTAATGCGGAGGTGACACCCTCCCTTTAATCTGGCTCAGTTAGCCATTGCTGCTCAATCTATATGTGGCAGGTTTAGAAGTCCTGCAGTAGGACAGTTTATTGGCATTTAGACCAACATGTCTTCCCTCAGAGGAAGTTGCCATGAGGCTCAGACAAGAGTTCTACTACATGAATCAAAAATAATGAACCCAGTGTAGAATTTTAAATGACTTCTGATTCCTATTTCTGATTTTTTAAAGAGTTGTAAAGATCAGATGGAGGAAAGGCATACTGTATAGATACCCTCTCATTCATCCAGAG